CCCATGTGGCAGGTTAACTACCAGTTTTGATGGTGAGATCCCAATTTTTATGGCAATTTGGTGAATGGTTAAATAACATTAAATAACGTTACATCCTCATGTTTTGATGGTGAGATCCCCCATGAGATCCCAAAAAAACTTCAATCAGCTTAAATCGCCTTAAATCCCCATGTTTCGAACGGCCGGCATTTTGGTCGGCTCCTTTCGAACGTCCTCTTGCCAAACAGCCAAGGATGTCAGCTGATTCTCACTGCTCGGAGAGCCCTCCGATTGGCCCAAGTGTAGGGCCATCTGTTGGGCATTCTTGGCTCGTTCCTGGTGTCGGAGCTTCGATGGGATGGGAATGACCATGGCCATTAAACTTTATGAAAAACCATAGGGATTGGTAAAATCTGTTTAGATTTCCAAAGGGGATTCTGAACCCCTCACCACTGAAAATAGACGACCAGACTGAGTACCGGACAGACTGTTCGCACTCATCCAACGCTTTATTCCGCGTATTCCGCGTGCATCTTCGCTTCTTCGTCGTGTCTCTTCCAATCTATGTATTCAATATTCGATCTGGCTGAAAATGGAGCATAGTAGACAGATGTTGCTTCTTTTTTCTACAATTCTCCCTGAACCTCGTTGACTTTTCGGTGCTTTTCTGCAAAAGTTGGGAGCCAAGATCTCATTTGCACAGTATTTGAGGCACTCTGGAGCTTAGACTTCTCATTTGCTGCCGGTATTTGAGGCAGATGGATGCTCAGCAAATTTGCAGATTTGCACCAGCTTGGAGCTGAAATCTTTGAGATTAAAAAAAAAACACCAGTACCATTGGTAGTTGTAGCTGGAGAAAAAATATGTCATCTGCGCAGTGCAACATGTGGATTTTGGAGTTACCAGTCAAAAGGATGTTACGTGCAGCGTTTTGGGGCAAAGAAGTTATCATGGGGTTTTCTTGCAGCGTCTGGGAATTTGATGTCTGGTTTCCTTGTTGTATTTTCATGTTCTTTTTGTATGTTTGCTTCATTTGGCGCTGCCGTTTTTGCTGAGGATGTTGCTGCTGCCCGCAATTTCCTCTGTTCCTTGCTCCTGTGGCTGTTGGTTGTTGAGAGTTGGGTTTCTTTGTTGTTCTTCTCCATTCTGGCAGCTGCAAAGAGTTGATAGCAGCCGGCCGTCAAAACCAGCGGCAGCCAGAAAGCCAAAAACGATGAAAACAAAAGCCAGGAAGACAGGAGCCGAGAAGTTTTTAAAAAACTCAACAAAATCACAAAATTGGCCGTTCTTTGGATTTTGTTGAGCTTCTGATGAACGAAACCCGCGAAATCGTTGGAAGGCGGATGGCATTCTAAGGATAAGAAAGTCAGCTTTTGGGAGCCATTGAAAGTTCAATAAAGTTCAATTCACCTCCGATAAGGTCCCTCCCTGGATTTTTTGGGAACGCTGCCCGAAAAAAACCAACAGATTCCCCTTTCGAGCCAGGTGTGGTTCCGACGTCATGGGATCAATGGCATTCATGGGGTATGGTCGTCCCCTGAATGGAGTTACTATTTTCGTGGGGGGATGACCATCTCCCAACAAGGATAATAATGGGATAATATGGTTATCTATCCAAGTTTTCAAGTTTTGCCCATGGTGTATCTGGATTTTTTCTGATTGCAAGCAGTAGCTGTTGAACATGGATGTCGACCCCTTGCTGGATCAGAAGCAAGAAATGATATGGGATTGTCCAAACATGTTTGGAACTCCATCCATCATTGCTTTGAAAATCATGTTTTGAACTATCCCTCCCGGCAACCATAGAAACGGGGAAATCCACGATTTGGTCAGCCTGAAGCTGTGCGCAAATCATCGAAGTAGATGGGGATTTTCTTTGCATTGCCATGTTGGAGTGCCAGAATGGTAAACAATCCCATTCTCAGATTCTTTGATTTTATATCCGATGAATATCCCAATTTTCATATCCCAATTTTCATATCCCAATTTTCATATCCCAATTTTCATATCCCATTAATATGCCTGCTACCCTCTGGTAATTTAACATAACTATGGAAAAACACCATGTTTAATGGGAAAATCCACTATAAATAGCCATTTTCAATAGCTATTTTGACATTACCAGAGGGTAATATGCCTGGTCTCATCTGCCGACCTTGAGAGAGATCTGCACGGATTGAATCGTCTCCGCATGGGGCTTTTGAGGAACCTGCCGAGCAGGCCGAGCATTGCTGGGCCATCAGGGAGATCAATGGATAAGCTGGTCTTTCCACACCAAATCAGGTTTTAATTTTCTGTGTTTATGTTCCACTGCAACCAATTCCGGGCTATGAAAATGGGCACAATGAAGTACAAATGGGGATACCCTCTGGTTATGTCAAAATAGTTATTGAAAATGGCTATTTATAGTGGAATTTCCCATTAATAGCATGGTGTTTTTCCATAGTTTTTTGTATGTTTACCAGAGGATAGTTTCAGCGACCTTACAATGGCCAGCCATGGACCATGGATCTGATAATTGCAGCCTCGTGGACATGAACTGATGAACCTCCTGGCAAAGATGGCACTCAGGGATGCAAAAATTTGGGAAAATCATGTGTAGACTTGTCAATGGATACCCGGCCTGGTGAACATACAAAAAACTATGGAAAAATTACCATCTTTAATGGGAAAATCCACTATAAATGGTCATTTTCAATAGCTATTTTGACATAACCAGAGGATACATCTTTTGTGACTTTTCGTTGGTAGGTGAAAAATTAAATCACGGGAGAGATCACCGAGTCGCTACCGAGTCGCTACCCCCTTTTCGGTAAGTCATTTTTTCCATCATCTGGGGCCTCTGGGTCAGAAATTTCGAGCCTTATCATCCCATTGGCCCTTCAAAGATGCCCCATGGTTTATATGTTTTGGTACCTGAATGGCTTGCCGCAGAAATGTCGCCGCAAAGCGGCGTCCAGTTGTTCGGTTAGTTCGGAATCCGCATTGGGCCATGTACAATGTAGCCATGTACTGACAATGACCCAATATGACCCAGAACAAGTCTTGGTTAGTTAAACTCCATCATCCCAATTCATGAGGGAGTTCATTTCCCCTCCAACCTCCAATCCTGTGGAGCTTAGGAAGCTGGTGGTTCTGTACCTGGGGTCGTTGATGGTAGGAGAGTGATAGGATTTTCACAGATCATTGCAGGAATATATGTAGCCTCTGGCAATCGAACATTTATAGATGAGCTGGAAGCCTTGGCCCAGAAAAATAGATGATCAATCTATATCAAGAATGGTGGATTTTCCATAGCAATGTGAAAAATTAGCCAGCCACGGGGCCTTACTTATACTGAGCCATGGAGCCTAGACCATTGGTTCTCATGGTTCTCATGGTTGGTTACAGGGAGATTCAACATATTCAACCATCGTTGATATGGCGAAAGAAAGAACGACAAAAATGACAAAAGGAGATCGTTGACAAATGAATATAAATATGACAAGATAGCCGTTTATATAACCAATGCAGGCACCCTTGCGGTAGTGGATGACTGTCATCAAACATGGCTGTGAAATCCAACGCCAAACGCTGATGGTGGTTTCGGAAACCCCATTAAAATCTTGTGCTACTTCCATTTGTGGATGGTTTATTTCATGGAAAATCCATCTGGATTTACGGATGATAGTACCTGGGGTACCCCTATGACTCAGGAAACCCACCCATATCTGGATGAGTTATAGAAATTCGATAAATCAGGATGAATCCTCGAATGCTAGCCAGAATGTACCGAGTACGTACCGATCAAGGTCCAAAAAAAATCTATCCAGATATATCCCATTATATCCCATATATATAGAATGATAATGGGATATAATGGGATATAATGGGATATAACCATGATATGCTCATTCTATCCCATGAAATATCCCAATAAATATCACCACGTTTGCTTGAATCCCCATACTTGATGGTTTTTTATGCATGACTTGCATGACGATCATTTTTTTCGGAAATATCCATGGCCAGTCAGATTACCCACATTTACACCACGCAGTTCAGGATGTTAATCCATTCAAATGAAAAATCATTGGTCTTGAACCTGTCAGTCATATCCCCATGTTTCACTCTGAAATCCATATGTTGGATGGTTAAGGATGGTTGAAGCCCAAGTTTTAGTATTCGTCTTGAACCATGTTGGCCTAAATCCCACTGATCAAATCTCCATAACCCAGCTAAACCCAGCTCCGTAACCCAGCAAGCTCCAGGGTTCGGCCTGGGGAGTTTGAAGTCCGCGCCCAAACTTCGAAGAGACGCCGCTGGTGCTGGGGAGGGGATCCCACCCTCCCTTTCCCCGAAGCACTGAACCTGCTCCATCAGACCTCAACAGAATCAGGGACTTGCGGACTTTTATGGTTTTGAGGCTGTTGCTCCTTCTTCCAACATGTTTTCAAAAGGTGACCTTTTCAAAATGCTTCGTGCTTCGCAGGAATCACAGCACCATTCAACCCTGGACCTGCCTTGATCAT